TCAGCCTGGGAATGGAGGGTAAGGTACGTGGATGTGTTTTGTTCAAGGACTAGGCTGAGGCGGACATCCAGGCATGCATGACTCAGCAAGTTTGGCATGCAGGTGCATACCTTCACTTGTTATATAACCTGTTTGTGTAAATTCATATTTGGCTCTGAGTCATTATTGTCTGCAAAAGGTATAATTGCCCTGCTGACACTGTGCACAGGGCCCAGCTCAACACGGCTCTTGTGCAGGTGCTGGTGCCCAGAGAGAGAGTGAAGCTACTGGCCTCTGTAAGGGAGAATGACCAACTGGCAGACGGGCAGGTGGGGAGTCAGGAACAAACTCATGCCCAAAGAGAGAGTTAAGCTGCTGACCCTGAAGACGAGGGAGAGCCAGCCCTGCAGTTGTGCGTGAGAGGGGCCCCTTCAAGCAGCCAAGACAGGGCAGACAGTGTGAGAGAGCTGAAGTAAGTGAGCTAATGTGAGTAAGCTGCTGATGAGCACTGCTGCTGAATAGAATAATCTTTCACTTGCCTACAGTCCCCCAAGTATTCTTTCAGCTGTTTGCCCATCCACCTAGTCCCTGCTAGACCCTGGCATTTCAACCTGACACCCTCTGAATACTCCATGATATGCTCTTGGTAATGCGCTGTGTTCTTATCCAGGCCCATGCTGCTGGGCTGGGAGAGGCTGGCTGCAGGGTCCTTAGCCCTGACGGACGGAGCACAAAAGCCCCAGAACAGGCCACATAGGAAGGAGGTTCGGAGCAGGAATCTTATCACCAACATCCTGACGATTTCCACTGCATGATGCAAAGCCCTGTATATGCTGTACAGTATATGCTGCCCTTCAGGCTCATTAAGAGTATGGCTGGATGGGTTACAGTCGTGCAAATGACTTACCCAATAGCAGGATGGGTACGTTCATGGGTAACAACTCCCCAGACTGGGACAGCATAGACATCCACGTTAGCATATACTGTAACATTTTTACTTTATAAGCTTTTTAATATTTTAAACTTTTGACTCTTTTGTAATAGCTTAAAACATAAACATTGTACCCTTACATAAAAATATCTTTTCTTTCTTAGTTCTATAAGCTTTTTAAATATTTTTTAATTTATTTTGTTTACTTCGTAAACTCTTTTGTTAAAAACTAGGACACAAACACACATTAGCCGAGGCCTCTGCAGGGTCAGGATCATCAATGTCACTGTTTTACAGCTCCACATCTTAGCTGACTGAAAAGTCATCCAGGGGCAGTAAGATGCACGAAGCAGCCATCTTCTTTGATAACAATGCCTTCTTTCTGGAATACCTTCTGAAGGACCTGCCTGAAGCTCTTTTACAGTTAACTTTTTTAATAAGTAGAAGTACACTCTAAAATATTAGGTTGGTGCAAAAGTAATTACAGTTATTGTTATTGAAAGTAATAGTAGAAACCTGCAATTACTTTTGCACCAACCTAATAACCGTAAAAAGTATGGCATAGTAAATACACAAACTAGTGACACAGTGCTTTCTTATCAAGTATTACATAGTGCTATAATTATTTTTTTTGAGACCGAGTCTCACGCTGTTGCCCAAGGTGGAGTGCAATGGCATGATCTTGGCTCACTGCAACCTCCGCCTCCCAGATTCAAGCAATTCTAGTGCCCCAGCCTCCCGAGTATATTAAGTATTAAGAGATTATAGGCATGAGCCTCTTATAAGGGACTATAGGCATAAGCCACTACACCTAGCTAATTTATATATTTTTAGTAGAGACAGGGCTTTACCATGTTGGCCAGGCTGGTCTCGAACTCCTGAACTCAGGTGATCCACCTGCGTTGGTCTCCCAAAGTGCTGAGATTACAAGTGTGCGCCACTGCACCTGGCCTTTAGTGCTGTATTTTTATACGACTGGCAGTGCAGTAAGTTTGTTTATACCAGTATCACCAAAAACATCTAATTATGCTATAATGTTACTAGGTAATAGGTATTTTCCAGCTCCAATTTAATCTTATGTGATCACTGTCATATCTGCAGTCCATCATTGACCAAAAGATCCTTGTTTCTTCTGGCATCCAGTCAATACTTTATTACTTAATATGCTCTACCTCCCACTCCTGCGAACCTCACTCCATCCTAAAAATAATCTTCACATCTGCCTTTCTGGATCTTCTTCTACTATGGACTAAATATTAATTCACCAGAGAACCTGCTATATATACTAGGTGTTATAAAACATATTTTTTAACATATATATTATGTTATGAAGACCAATGGAAGAATTCATCTTAATTCTAAGTGTTAGGAAAGCTTTGTTTTCCTTGAAGAATGGACATATTTTTTTCCTTCTAAACAATGTAAGCAAATTACCTTCTCATTTTGGTTGCCAGAATACTCAGTTTGTACCCCTAACTGAATACCTGTGTAGGTTATCAATCTTGTCCTGACCTCTTAGTGCTCATTTGTATGTTTTTTTTTTCCATTTTTTTTTTTGTATCTTGTTCGTAATCTTGAGTCATTTTTTACATACAATGGAGTTATAGTAATATAGCTATTGCCTATTATGATACAAGAAATACCTTCTAGCTTATTTGACTGTGATCCTAGTTTTTCATTTCTGGTAATGAATTTAAAAACTCTGTTGGGAATAACATAAAAAGCTATAGGCAGATGTGAATCAGTAGAATTATAATTAGAATTTACTGAGCTTTTACTATATGCCAGGCACTGTTTTATTACTTTACATGAATAAACTCACTTATTCCTTAAAATAGTCTCATGAAATAGAAAGCCAAGAGGTCAGCATCCCAGGAAATCTAAAGGAGTCAGTCTAAATAGTTATAATACATAACTCAAGGAAAAACAAAATGGGCCAAAATACCTATGAGGTTACCTCATCATTCAAAAAACTAAAAAGATTATGCTGCTAAATTAAACCCTATGCATTTAGATTAAAACTAGAGTACTGGCTGGCATTGTACTATGTATTATACAGAGCTTATAAAAGATTTAGGATGATTTACAACTTCAAAATGGCTAATGTAAAGAAGGTGTCTAACATAGGACAATAATCCAAACCAGCACTACAAAGGATTTCTGAGAAGGCAGGGAACTGAAAGTGTCACAGAGTCAGGATATGAGCGTGGCCTTTAAAAAAGGGATAGGGGTTTCTGGAACACAAATAAGAAAGCAGAACACGTAAAAGTGCTAAGGAATAGTTTGAAAAGAAGCCAAGTGTGAGAACAGGGTACAGTAGGAACAAAAAACAGGCCTGCCTGCATGCATTATCTTTGAGAAGAGAAAGTAAGTAAGTAAGTAGATCGAACTATGAAATACCTTTAAGTTAAAGAAGTTTACATTTTGGGCAGAGGTCACTGGGAAACTGCAGCCTATTTTTAACAAAGTAGTCGTTTAGTAAGGAGCTAGATAATGGTAGTGAGTCAACAGTGATCAATTTAGTAATCTAGGCACAAGGTACCATGAACTTGGAAGCAGCAGTATAAAGACGTCGATTATTAATCTATATCAAATAAAGGCAAGCTGTTTGATTACAAAAGGATAAAGAGGAATCAGTGAGCATTTAGTGTCTACTCAGCACTTTGTGATGCTTTTTATCAATTAAAAACAATATTTCTGGCTGGTGTGGTGTCTCATACCTATAATGTCAGTGTTTCGGGAAGCCGACATGGGAGAACTGTTTTGAGTCTAGGAGTTCAAGACTAGCCTTGCCAACATAGTGAGATCCTGTCTCCACAAAAAATGTTTAACATTTTGGGTGTGGTGGTGTACACCTGCTGCCCTAGCTACTCAGGAAGCTTTGGCAGGAGCCCGAGAGTTCAAGGCTGCAGTGAGCTATAACTGTGCCATTGTACTCCAGCCTGGACAACAGAGCAAGACCTTCTTTCAAAAATAAAACAAAAACAAACAAACAAAGATTTCCGTCTTCAAGAAGTGTATAATCTAATTGTACTATCTCAAGTTTTATAACTTGATAAAATGAGATTATTCTGGCCTAACCCTCGCCGCATGTCACAGAGCTGATCATTGATAATCAAAGAAGCACTGGGAGGTAGGAAAAGGTAGATCGGCACAGAATCATGGATCCTGAAGGAAGCTTAGGCTTTAAGGCGTAACAGTGACAAAAAGTGCCAATTTTGCAAATGTCAAGTAGGAACAGGACTGAGAAACAGGCACTGGGTTTGTCCTTGAGAGATCAACCTTCCAAGATTGGTGAGGGTCAAAGCCACAGAGCCTAAGTTTCACGAAGTAAATAAAAGAAAAGGATTTTTTTTAAAAAAGGCTCAGCAATTGGCAACTTTTTACCCCAAGATCATGAAGAAATGTCTCCAAGATTTTTAGAACATTTTTCTTAAAAATGTGATAAAATAACACTAGGATTAGTTAGGCATTAGGCACATTAGTAAAAAAATGAGTTATATTTTGAGGAAAAATGCTACATCAAGAAAGGTGCGTGAAGGAAGAAGATGAGAAAAATCTATCTTTTCAAGTCAGAAGAATGAATTTGCCTCAACACTATTATCCCCAGACTGGTGAGAAGTTTTTAGTCCTGTTCTGAAGCGAGATCCCTCACTTCTGTTACTGGAGCCAGCAAGTATGAAGACACACACACAGGATTTTCTCTTCATGTAAAGGGGCTGATGGGGTTAGAAAACAGAGGATTAGCTGGCAGGGTGGGGATGCACGCTTGATGGAATGATGAGTGGAGAAACGACAAGGTGTCAGGTAGCTTTATATTCTAAAGTTGGAGCCTTTCAGAATATTAGATTGCGTATGTTAAGTTTTTTGAGTCATCTCTGTTTTATTGTGAACTCATTTGAGAAAAGAAAAAGGGGAGGCAGAAAAAGAGGGAGGGAGGGAGAAGCAGAGGGGAGAGGAAAGAAGAATAGACCAACAGAAAGGAGGAGTGAAAGCTTATAATGGGTACAGGTATCTAACAAAAGAAAATTAGAACAAGTACATATACATACTTGAAATACATATGTTTCTATAGTAGGAGGTTAGGTAGGTGTGTTCTTGTGTTAACATTAATAAAAGCTCAGATATTACTCTTTAGTATGTAGGTGCTGATGTCTGATGAGAGTTGAACTCTGACTGAAGGCTTTTCCACAGTCATGACATTTGTACGGCTTCTCCCCGGTATGAGTTCGCTGATGAATAATAAGGGATGAGCTACGACTGAAGCCCTTTCCACACACTCTGCACTCGTGGGGCTTTTCTCCAGTGTGGATTCGCTGATGTTCAATAAGAGATGAACTTCGACTGAACACTTTGCCACAGTCACTGCACTCATAGGGGTTCTCCCCAGTGTGTGTTCTCTGATGTTCAATAAGCGATGAGATCCAACTGAAAGCTTTTCCACATTTACTACATTCATACGGATTTTCTCCAGTATGTATTCGTTGATGCTGAATTACAGTCGAACGGTCACTGAAGGCTTTCCCACATTCATGACATTTGTAAGGCCTTTCTTGAGTATGAGTTCGCTGATGTTGACTAAGGTTAGTGCTTCGGCTAAAGGCTTTTCCACATGCACTACATTCATATGGTTTTTCTCCAGTATGGATTCTCTGATGTAGACTAAGATGTGTGCTCCGGCTAAAAGCTTTTCCACAATCATTGCATTCATAAGGTTTCTCTCCAGTGTGAATTCTTTGATGTTCAATAAGGTGTGTACTTCGGCTGAAAGATTTCCCACATTCATTGCATTCAAAAGACTTTTCTCCACCACGAATTCTACTGTGTATAAGAAGGTCTGATTGGTAACTAAAGGCTTTTTCACATTCATTGCATTTACAAGGTTTTTTTTGTGAGAAAGGTCTTTGGTGTTTAATTAAGTCTGAATTATCTTTGAATTTTTTCCTAGATAGAGGGGATCTATCGCCCTTTGGAATTTTCTGTTGTATGTCAAGGTTTGGGCTTAGACTAAATTCATGGGATTCAGGGCCTCCCTCCTCCGTGAAAATTTCTTTGAGTGTCACTGACACTTTTCTGACCACTGTATTCTCAAAAGAGGATTTCTTCTGTGCAGGACATTTTGTCTTCCTTGAAAATTGGCCTTCATGTTTATAGGTTTCTTCATTTGTAGGACCCTCAGCAGTATTCCCTTTGAGGTTTTCCATTGCTGACCCTGAAAACTCTAGTTCTTCGGAAACAGTGTGATTGGTGTTGATGCTTTGATCAGTTTATATCTCCCTATATGAAAGATATTTAAAGGACAAATGTCATCTGTATCTACTGTGGAGAGAAAAGAAAATAAACCAGCAGAGAAAAGACAACTAATTTGAATTCATGCACACTAGCAACTTTATATGAGCAGAAAACAAAAAAGGACAGTGGAGGATAAGTGAACAAAGCCAGAAGAGGTAAGAGGCAGAATTTTTGCAGTGGGCATGGTGAACACAGAGACAGTAAGAAATATGGAAAGAGTTACTGGGTAACAGGCTAAGCCAAACCAAAGGAAACGAGCAGGTGTACCAGCTGATGACAGAGCGCTGGGCATTAAAAGGTAAAATGACATACTATGGTAGCTTGTTAGCCATGGAAAATGAGACCGACAAGAAGGATGACTAGAATCAAGACTCTCAAATGTAGGGAAAAAGGAAAAAGAAAGATGGCTTGATCAAGCTTGAATGCAACCATTTTCCTGGGATTGAGACAGAATAAAAATTTCAGAAATGATAACTACCACACTGCTAGCCCCATTTGCCCCTCAACCCTTCTTCCAATTATTATACTTCAGGTATTCTTCTAAAGAAGCATACAGTCATAGACTGTCAGTGATTTAACAGAACTTAGACATCATCTACACCAACCCACTCATCTGACAGAAAACAGACTGAGTCACTTGCCTACATGATCCAACCAATTGCAAGGGCTTGGACTAGAACTCATCTTTTAAACATCAAATTGGTGGTCTTCCTATAACACTACTCACCTAGACAGGTATTTCTGGACACTGCCCTCTTCAACTTCCTGAAGATTCAGCAACTACTGTTATTCATCCTCCAACTGGGTCCAATTCACATGCGGGGGTTCCTGCATATTAGAAATGATTTAATATAAGGCTGCTGGTGCTGAAGACACAGAGCTATTCAGAGCTCAATCCCAGTGTTTTTATCTACAGAAAAAGCAGGGTGAACTTGCACAGGATCTATGGCTGGAGGGGCTGGAGACAATGAGTCTCAGAAAGGGACTACAATTGGATGCCGAAAGATGGGTTACATACACACACACACACGTTACATACACAAACACATACACATCATAATTACTTTTGACACTTGTTACTCCAGGTATCTGAGCCTTGCTTTGGAGCCAGTAAATCTGATGGGGCCAAGGCACTTGTATTTTAATAAGCTCATGTGACTTGACAAGTTGAATGTCCAGAAAGAAGCTTAGAAACACAGTCTAGGGTGCTTGAGCAAAGTGCTAGCTGACTGTCTTCTACCCTCCAACATTCTACTCACAGCATTCAGGTATAAAACAGAAACTCAGCTTCCCATAGAACAAAAGGCCCCTTCTCTCTACAGAAGGACTGAAACTTCCCAAAGATCTCAAGCTTCCCAGGTACTAGACAGCTAGCTTTCCCAGATGGCTGTTGTTTAAAAAGCAAACACCTCACATTCATATTGCCTGGCACCAAGTAGTGAGTTTATCTCCACAAAAACAAGGTTGTTTTCTACTTGTATTATAAGAAGGGAGAGCAACAGGGAAGCAAGGCCCTCTCCTGGAAGAGCAGCCTATCAGAGTGTCCAGCAGAGCATCTTGGCTCCAGCAGCCTTTGTCAGAAAAAGGAAGATCTGAGAACGTATGTCTTTTCTTCTTGCCCATCCCCAGACTCTAAATTTCCTCATTAAAGCTCGTTTAACCCCTTCTCTTGTTAATTCACTTGGAACCCGTGTATATTAAAGGAGGCAATGAACTGTATAACAGTTCCCCAGATATTTCTGGTCACGGCATAATTTGAGATACATGAGATTAGGGAGTTAATCTAGCTTCATAAAAGCCTTTCCTTTCTCATAGACTGAGACCTCTCAGATGTGAAGGTTAGCCTTGGAGGATATGCACCAAGAAGCCATACATGGAGAATTTCAAGTAACATGATGATCCTGTCTGTGTTCAGCTTTGCCAAGAACATGCCTTTCAACTGAAGACAGGGAAGACAAAAAGCCCTACTACTGGGTTGATACAGGAGTCAGAATTTCTTGTTGTAGAAAATCACATTAAGATCCAATTGAGGCTGCGTACAGTGGCTCACACCTGTAATCCCAACACTTTAGGAGGCCGAGGCAGGCCGATCACTTGAGGTCAGGAGTTCAAGATCAGCATGGCTAACATGGTGAAACCCGTCTCTACTAAAAATAGAAAAACTAGTTGGGCGTGGTGGTGCACGCCTGTAATCCCAGCTACTTGGGAAGCTGAGGCTGGAGAATGGGTTGAACCTGAGAGGCGGAGGTTGCAGTAGGCCAAGATCACACCATGGCACTCCGGCCTGGCTGACAGAGAGAGACTCTATTCACTCTCATGCTTATTAATATTTTACTGATTGTTAAACGGTGCCAATTTGATATGAGATTATCTATAATCAACTAATGTGTATATACTGTGTATTAGGCTGTTCTTGCATTGCTATAAAAAATATCTGAGGCTGGATAATTTAAAAAGAAAAGAGGTTTAACTGGCTCATGGTTCTGCAGCATGTAAAACCATGGTATTGGCATCTTCTCAGCTTCTAGTGAGGCTTTAGAGAGCTTTCACCTATGGCAGAAGGTTAAAGGGAAGCAGGCATATCACATGGTGAAAGCAGGTGCAAAGCAGGGGAAGGAGATGCCACACAGTTTTACACACCTGATCTCACAAGAACTCACGCATTATTGCAAGGACAGCACCAAGCCATGAGGGATCTACCTCCATGATCTAATCACCTCCCATCAGGCTTCACCTCCAACACTGAGGATTACAGTTCAACATGAGATTTCATGGGGACATATATTTAAACCATATCATTCTGCTCCTGGCCCCAAGGTCTCATGTTCTCACATTGCAAAATACAGTCACCTCCTGCTCAATAGTCCCCTAAAGTCTTAAGTCACTCTGGCATTAACTCAAAAGTCCCAAGTCCGAAGTCTTATCTGGAGATGAATTTCTTCCACCTATTAACACGTAAAATCACAATTTATTTACTTCCAAAATACAATGGAGGTTCAGGCATTGGGTAGAGATTTTGGCTGATTTCTCCCATTGTAAAAGGGAGAAATCCACCAAAAGAAAGTGGCCATAGACTCCAAACAAGCTTGAAATGCAGCAAGGCAGTCATTAGATCTTAAAGCTCCAAAATAATCTCCTATATGTCCCACATCCAGGGCATAGTGGTGCAAGGGGGGGTTCCCAATGCCTTGGACAATTCTATTCCTGTGGCTTTGCAGAATTCAGCCCCACACTGCTCTCCCACGTTGCTGAACACCTGTAGCTTTTCCAAGCACAGGGTGTAAGCTGCTGGTGGATCTACCATTCTGGGGTCTGGATAGTGCCCCTTTTCCCACAGCTCCACTAGGCAGTACCCCAGTGGGGACCCTATGTGGGGCCTCCAACCCCACATTTCCCCTCTGGACTGTCCTAAAAGAGGTTTTCTAAAGGGGTTCTTCCCCTACAACAGGCTTCTGCCTAGACATCCAGGCCTTCTCATACATCCTCTGAAATCTTGGCAGAACCTGCCAAGCCTCCTTCCCTCTTGCACTATGCACATCCACAGGCTTAATACCACATGGAAGCCACGAAGGCTTACAGTTTCTACCCTCCAGAGCAGCACCCTGAGCTATACCTGGGCCCACTGGCACCATGGCTGGAGCTCGAGCAACCAGGATTTGAGAGCAGCCTCCTGGAGTGGCGCAGGGCAGTGGGACCCTGGATCTGGCCCTAAAATCCTTAGTCCTCCAGCGCCTCTGAGCCTGTGATGGGAGGCATTGCCTCTTAGATGTCTGAAATGCCTCTGAGGCCTTTTTCCTATTTTCTTGACTAGTAGCACTTCGCTCCTTTTTGGTTATGCAAACCTCTCTCACAAGCAGTTGCTCCATGGCCTGCCTGAATTTCTGTCCTGAAAAAGCTTTTTCTGTCTCTGCAAATTTTCCAAACTTTTATGCTCTGCTTCTCATTTAAATATAACTTCCAACTTTAAGTCATTTCTTCGATCCTACATCTGAGGACACACTATAAGAAAGAACCAGGCTACATACTGTTTTGCTGCTTAAAAATTTCTTCTCCCAGATACGCTAAATCAACATTCTGAGGTGCAAACTTCCATAGATCCCTAAGGCAGGGGCACAAGGCAGCCAAGTTCTTTGTTAAGGCCTAACACACATGACCTTTGCTTTAGTTCCCAGTAAGGGCAGGGGCACAAGGCAGCCAAGTTCTTTGTTAAGGCCTAACACACATGACCTTTGCTTTAGTTCCCAGTAAGTTCCGCATCTGAGACCTTGTCAGACTGGACTTCACTGTCCATATCACTATCAGCACTTTTGTCACAACCATTTAACCAGTCTCTAAGAAATTCCAAACTCTCCCTCATCTTCCCATTCTCTGAGCCCTCCAAACTCTTCCAGCTTCTGCCTGTTACCCAATTCTAAAGTTCCTTCCACATTTTTAAATATCTTCATAGCCAAGCCCGCTCCTCAGTACCAATTTGCTGTATTAGGCCATTCTTGCGTTGCTATGAAGAAATACTTGAGGCTGGGTAATTTATAAAGAAAATAGGTTTGATTGGCTCATAGTTCTGCAGGCCATACAACCATGGTGCTGGCATCTGCTCAGCTTCTGATGAGGCTTCACGGAGCTTTTACTCATGGACGGTGGGAGGCAATGGGGGAGCAGGCATATCATGTCGCAAAAGTAGGAGAAGAGAGAGGTGGAGAGGTACCACATACTTTTACACAACCAGATCTCATGAGAACCTACACATTATCGCAAGGACAGTACCAAGCCCTGAGGTATCCACCTGTACAATCCAGTCACCTCCCGTCAGGTCGCACCTCCAACATTCGGGATAACAATTCAACTTGAGATTTGGTGGAGACACATATTTGAGCCACATCATACTGTATAGGGCAAGAGTCTCAAAGTGTATTTGTTTTTGCATTCAAATAATCTCATTATATCTACAACTGTATTATGCATTAGATGTGTCTGTGTATGTGACATATATGATAGACACATAGAAACTCCATGAGGGAAAGTTTCTACCTGGAAGAAAAAACAAAAAGAATTTGTGAAAGGAATTTAACTTGGAAGTACAGTCTCTAGAAATGGACTTTCTTCCGGCCTGCCTATTCTAAGCATTTTATGAATATTGACTCATTTATTCTTCACAATAACTCTGTGAGATTATTATTATTCTCACAATACAAATAAATAGTGTAAAGTAGAGAGAAGTTAAGTAATTTGGCAAAAGGTCAAAGAATAAATCCTAGATTCAAACTCATTATACTACGTAGTACGTGTTGCTTCTCAACAGACAGGGAAAGAAAGCCTGAGTCATGCTTTCTGTTTAGGGGCTTGTAAATGGCCAAGAAACTAAACTCCACCAGTGTCAGAAGGATATCAGCATGACCTTGACTTCAGAGTGCTGTAGGGATGTAAAGAGTGACTACCTCCCAAAGGCAGTCCTGAAAGGCTGCAGTAAATCTCAGCCACACTAACAGACCTATCTATGTAACCTATGGATTAAAGTCTCTGGCCTTAGCCGGACATGGTGGCTCACGCCTGTAATCCCAGCACATTGGGAGGCCAAGGTGGGCAGATCACCTGCGGTCAGGAGTTTAAGACCAGCCCAACATGGTGAAACCACATCTCTACTAAAATATAAAAATTAGCCAGGCATGGTGACACACACCTGTACTCCCAGCTACTCAGGAGGCTGAAGCAGCAGAATCACTTGAACTCAGGAGGTGGAAGTTGCAGTGAGCCAAGATTGTACCACTGCATTCCAGCCTGGGTGACAGCGAGACTCCATCGAAAAAAATAAAAATAAAGTCTCTGGCCTCCACTGAAGTGCAAGTGGCATCCTCACCACAATTCAGGGAGACATCAGACAGAGGCCCAGAGCTATATGCATTGACTAGGTAATCTGGATTTTGGTCATTGTTCCATTTGTAGCTATATAGAAACCAGGGAAAAATAGGCAATCTAGTTTTATGTCTCCTCATCTGTAAAATGGAGATGCTGGACTTGACTGGTCCAAAGTTATCTGATTGCCAGTAGTTTAACTTTAGATCCCAAACTTTGAAACACATAGCCATCTGCCTAGACTAAGGGGAGAGGACTAGAATGAATCTCCTCTTTTTCAAATCCTCAGAGACATGTAAGATCTCCAGGTATATAATAGGCCAAAAAAGCCCTGTGTTCATTAATCATCTAATGATGAATTAGAGTGAAGGAGTGTTGAAGATATTAAGGGCAATCAACAGGCAAATAAACAATAGTCTCTTTGGCAAAATTTGGCAGACTCACCTAAGAAGGGAAGTTCCTTTAAGAGAAATAAATGTGATGAACACTTTCAGAAAAGAGGGAAGAATACTTAACTCATGTGAGATATGGATCTTACAGAGATTCAGACAGTTGCCGTTCCCTCTTCTGCCTTCTCTTGGTTTTATTTTTAATAAAAGGCAGAAATGGGAAAAGGTCATACTCTAAGGCATCCAGAACTTCTGTCTAGTGATGTCCAGATCTGGCATGTTGAATGCAACCCTAAGGATTAAGAAGTAAAATGAATGCCCCAAAGTAATCCCATCTCCTCTCAGATATAAAGAAAATGACAATGGGCATTTATGTCTGAGTTTTAAGTTCCACCTTTTATGATGAAAGATAAAGAAGACAGATCTAAGTCAAATCCAAACTTCCTCTAAACTCTTCAGGTGATCCAGCCTCTTTGACATTCTCTTCAAATGGGGTATAAAATCAAAGACACTATGGCACTGGTCCCCTTAGTTCTTCCTGAGGGTCAAAATGGAAGACAGATGACACTGCTTAGAGCTGTGCTTCCTGGGCCAAGTCACCTTTCTGAAAAATCTTGCCCGATATTATAAAACACCATTACTAGCATGTGCTTGTCTCTTCTTACAAAGCTTTTGTGAATACTGCAAGTTAAAATATGACAAAACATTTACAACAAAGAATATCATATATAACGTAAGGGAGGTGATGCTATTGCTATGCTTATCTCACATCAATGAATTTGAAAACTGTGATGGTATATGTTTAAGGAAAGATGCTGTCCTGAGGATTTATGAGGCTCCCTTCAGCAGCTGCTGCTCTAGAGGATGGAGAGAGGCATTCTTTTTCCTGGCTTTGGAGGATGTATAGGAGATGGGAAAGGGAAACCTAGTGAATGTGACAAAAATTTCGTGGATAGCCCCTAAACATATTTCAGAGAGGCCAGGAGGTTAGGGCTTGTCTCCAGAATGTTAGGGCCATACCTTTATTCAGATTCCATCCAAGGGATTCCTCCACCACCCCCTTTTCTCCTTTCTTCCTCATACTTTCATTATTTAGGTTACCTTACTGCTCTCTGGTTACTGTATCCCCACAAAAACATTATTAAGTAGTAAGAACAGGCTACAGTCCTAGCAAATCTGGTAGTTAGCTCTTCCTTTCTAACACTAACAGCGTTGGCCACCACAGTAACAATCTTCAGAAATTGGCTCAAAGCACAAACGCACCCATAAAGCACAAACTCACACACAAAGATCCACAGTAACTGTCAATACACCTACGAACAAATAATTAACAACTACTTTATTGTAGTTCCAACCATCATCATCAGAATCATAAAGTAAGAACTGGTACTCACGAGTCTCTGTAACTTCAAGCAAATACTTAGTGTTTTGTTTTTTGTTTTTTTTTTTTTGAGACGGAGTCCCACTCTGTCACCCAGGCTGGAGTGCAGTAGCATAATTTCGGCTCACTGCAACCTCCACCACCCAGGTTCAAGCGATTCTCCTGCCTCAGACCCCTGAGTACCTGGGACCAGAGGTGCGCGCCACCACGCCTGGCTAATGCCTGTATTTTTTTTTTTTTTCTTTTTTTTTTTTTTTTTGAGACGGAGTTTCGCTCTTGTTACCCAGGCTGGAGTGCAATGTCGCGATCTTGGCTCACCGCAACCTCCGCCTCCTGGGTTCAGGCAATTCTCTTGCCTCAGCCTCCTGAGTAGCTGGGATTACAGGCACACACCACCATGCCCAGCTAATTTTCTGTATTTTTAGTAGAGACGGGGTTTCACCATGTTGACCAAGGATGGTCTCGATCTCTTGACCTCGTGATCCACCCGCCTCGGCCTCCCAAAGTGCTGGGATTACAGGCTTGAGCCACCGCGCCCGGCCACCTGTATTTTTAATGGAAACGGGGTTTCATCATGTTGGCCAGTCTTGTCTCAAACTCCTAACTTCAGGTGATCCGCCCACCTCGGCCTCCTAAAGTGCTGGGATTACAGGTGTGAGCCGCCGCCCCCGTCCGAGCAACTATTTCATGTGACTCAATTTCCTGATCTGTAACATGGGGATAATAACACTACGTTGTTTCATCGCGTCGATGCGAGGATTAAGTGAGTTCCGCAGTTAAAAACTCTTGGAGCAGCGCCTGCACTCAGCAAGCAACCGAGGAACCACCCAGGACGGAAGCCCTCCCTCGGCCAGCCAGCCGGGAAGGAGGCGCAACCCTGCTCTTGGATCCACCTCCGGGAGCCGCAGGGGACGCCGCCGGCTGCCGCAGAGGGACCGGGCCGGCCAGCGCGCGAGACCCCTCGCCACAGGGCGTCCCAGCCGTGGACGTGCCTGCTGACCGACCTGCGGCCAAACCACCCGCGGCGCTTTTCCCCGTTTCCTTGGAAGAAACCGCGTTTCCACTTTGCAGAACACCCACGCCCACCCACCCTGGTCCCGGGGCCCTGCGCGCCCCACTCACCGGCCGCCTCCGGCCGAGCACCCCGACACAGCCCGGACGGGTCCCGCACTTGGAGCGGAACCGGAGTGCGCGGGGCTTGGGGAAGTCGGAAGGATTAAAGAGAAGCCCACGCGTCGAGCCGCTGCTCCGACGGCCTCGGGTTTGCTGGGAGCGCAGGCGCCCTTCCATTCACACTGCAGCTGGTCGTGCTCTGCTCCGTGTGCGGGGACGGTCACGGCCTAGCAGCCGCCTGGACCTAAGTCTCCGGACACGGACGACCACCTGCAAAACAGAAAACATTGGGAGTGGGCAACAGATCGGCAGCGGTCGCAGCTCTGCGCCTGCGCCGGAGAGCCGGCGAGAGCCGGGCTGTGCTGGGATTCACTTTCCTGGAGGTTTTTGCAAAGGTCCTCACCCGGTATGTGAGAGGCTGGGGCGAGAGGCAAGAGGAAGGGGGTCTGCGAGAGCTCCCGAAGACCACCTAAGACACTGCCACAGACGGCCCAGACCGGTGGTTCACAGAGTTTTAAATAGCGTACACAAATACATCACCAAGCGAGCTTGTTAAAATACAGCTTCTCAAGGTTGACACTCCGGGACTGACTCACTGGCCTGGAAAATGACATTTCAACGGGCATCTCAGTTGATTCTGATGCAGGTGATCTCCCGCCTGTCTGGAGAAACTGGCTCCATTGCACAATCTAGATGCTTAAATACAGTTAAATGCAAGACACTTCTCAAATTTCACCAAAAGAAAAAGATGAATAAAATCAGGACACTACCCTAATCTAGTGGATTTTTTTAAATTCTAGATATTTTTAATATAAGGCAATGAAGTTGCACAATTTGCCCTGGGAGTTTAGAGCACGGGAAACTTACAGAACGAGGGACATGGGAGTTGTTTGGCTAATGGAAGATTTAATGGAAAACATAGGGAAGGGCAACCTTACAAAGAGTTGACCAACTAGAAGAGTGGAAAGCATGGCAAAGCTGTGGATTTGATATATGACAGCTATGCACAAGTACCATAGAAACATCAAGTAAGTTATAATGAAATCATTATGCAAAAAAAAAAAAAGAAGAAGCATCAAGTAAGTATAAGACATGAGCCATAAAGTATAAAGGAGCAGGATCCAAATTATAAAGCTGGAAAGAATTAGATAAAACCTAATTTTATCATTTCCTATTTTTAAAAACTTTCAAATTGTGGTACTGCGCTTAACATTAAAGTTACCATTTTAAAGTGGTACAATAAAGTTTTTAGTGGATTCACAACAGCACCATCACTATCTAATTCTAGAACATTTTCATCATCCCTAAAGATGCCCATTGAACAGTCTCTAGTCCCTGCTCCCCACAGTCTCTGCTAACCTTTATTTTACATTTTGTTTCTATGAATTTTCCTGTTCTAGATATGCCGTGTAAGTGAAATAATGCATTTGTCCATTTATGTCTGGATTATTTTTAATTAGCGTAATGTTTTCAAGGTTTATTCACATTGCAGCATGTATCCTTCACGCCCTTTAATGGCTAAATAACATTCCATTGTGTATATGTGTGTGTTTATACATAAACAGTATATAAATATACAGACATAATATTTTGTTTATCCATTCATCTCTTGTTGAACACTTGGGTTGTTTCTGCCTTTTGGCCATTGCAAATAATGCTGCTATGAACATTGGTGTACAAGTGTCTGGGTCACTATTTTCAATTTGTTGAGTATAGAGCTAGGCGCTGAATTGCTGAATCATATAGTAATTCTGTAATCAGCTTTTTTGAGGAACCATCAATCTGTCTTCTACAATGGCTGCATCATTTTACATTTTCACTAGCAATGCAGAAGGATTCTAGTTTCTCCACATCTTTGCCAACACTTGTTAATTTCTGTTTTTGTGGTAGCTGTTGTTGTTTGTATAGCCATCCTAATAGGTAAGAAGCTTTATCTCATTGTGGCTTTAATTTGCATTTTCCTAGTGGCTAGTGATGTTGAGCATCTTGTTGTGTGCTTATTTGTATGTCTTCTTTGGAGAAATGCCTGCTCAAATCCTTTGCCTATTTTTGAATTCGGTTTTGTTGTGTTGCATGAGTATTTATATAATTCCAGATATTAATTCTTCTTCAGATATATGATTTGCAAATATTTTCTCCCATTCTGTGAGTTTTTTCTTTCTTTTGATAGTGTCCTTTGATGCATAAAATTTTTAATTGTTACGAAGCTCAATTGATCTATTTTTAATCACATGTGCAATACTTGAGAATTACATTGTCTGATAAAGACTTTTATGTTTTCTTCTAAGAGTTTTACAGTTTTACATCTTAAATTTAGGTCCTTGATCCATTTTGAGTTAATTTTGGTAGGTGGTGTAAATACTACAACTTTGTTATTTTGCACTTGGATACTCAGTTTTTCCAGCACCATTTGTTGAAAATACTGTCCATTTCCCATTGAATGGTCTTGGCAGTTGTTGAAAATCAATCCATCAACCATATAAGTGAGGTTTATTTCTGGGCTCTCTTTTCTATTTTATTGATCTGTGTATCTATTCTTGTTCCAGTACCACACTCTTTAGGTTACTATAGGCTTGTGTAAAGTTTTGAAATTATGAAGTATGTGTCTTTAAACTTTATTCTTTCCTTCAAGATTTTCTTTAGTTATTCAGGGTAATTTATTTTCCATATAAATTTTAGGATGGGATTTTCTATTTCTGCAAACAAAGGTTGAAATTTTGATAAGGAATACTTTGAATCTGTATATCAAATAGTATTATCATATTATCAATAGTTAGTCTTCTAATCCATGAACATGGGATGTCTTTCCAATTATTTATGTCTTCTTTAATTTCTTTAAGCAATGTATTGCAGTATTCAGTGTACAGATCTTTCACCTCAAGTTTATTCTGAGGTATTTTTATGCTACTTCTAATATGTAAATATTAGAAATATATACTCAATGCCATGAATTCCCCCTAAGCACTGCTTTCACAGCATTCTATACGTTTTGATAAGTTGTGTTTTCATTTTCATGTAATTAAAAGTATCTTTTAATTGCTCCTGGCATTGCTTCTTTGACACGTGTTATTTAGAAGTGTATTGCTTAACCTCCAAGTATTTGGGGGATTTTCCAATGATCTTTCTGTTATTGATTTCAAGTTAAATTTATTGTCATCTGAGAGAAGTCACTGTATGATTTCTAATCTTTTAAATTTGTTAAGGTATGTTTTAGGGCCCAGAACATGGTCTATATTGATTAATGTTCCATGTGAGTTTGAGAAGAAAGAGTATTCTGCTGTTGTTGGATGAAGTCTATAAACAGTCATTATATCCAGTTGATTGATGCTGTCGTTGATTTTAGCTCTATCCTTATTGATTTTCTGCTTGCTAGATCTGCCCATTTTTGATAAAGAATTTTTGAGATCTCTGTGATAGTAGATTCATCTCTTCCTTCTTGAAGTTCTATCAGCTTTTGCCTCATGTATTTTGACAGTGTGTTTTTAGGTGCATACATATTAAGGATTATGTCTTCTTAGAGAACCCTTGTTCATTATATAATTCCCCTTTTTATCCCTGATAGCTCTACTTGCTTTGAAGGCTACTCTGTCTGAAATTAATATAGCTATTTTTGCTTTCTTTTGATTAGTGTTAGTATGGTATTACTTTATTGATTAATGTTTAACCTATATATGTCTTTATCTTTAAAGTGAGTTTCTCAGAGACAACTTACATTATTTCTTCACAATTTCTGCCTCTGTCACTGTAAGAGCTTTGTTGAGTTCCTGGAGGACTCACAAAAGCGTGGGGAGGTGGGGGGAGGGGTCCCTTGATAGCTGGGTTCCCCTAGGGTTTTTAATCTCTCAGACTTATCCAACTCCCCAGCAATTCATCGGTTATAGTTGAGGTTTTCTTGCATTGGCACTGGTTCCTGAAGAGGTTTGTGTTCATGCGTTCTTGCTCTAAGAAGCTAAAATACTCTGTTTTGCCTGTCAGTCTCTCCAATTTTAGAGGCAGTGGTTTGCCGTAAAGAGTTGTTAATTTTTTAGCTTAAACTTTTTACTTATTAGGATGAAGTGGTGACTTCCAGCTTCATACATGCAAGGCCAGAAACTAGAAATGCTTAATTTTATTTTCACATTGTTCATAGCAAATGCCATTTTTTGTGTGAGTGTTATATCATGCAATCTTGCTAAGTTCATTTATTATTTGTAACAATATTTTTGTGGTTTCTTTAGGGTTTTCTATATATATAATCATGTCATCTGCAAACAAAATTTTACTTCTTTTTAAATTGGACAATTTTTCTGTTTTTTTGTTTGTTTGTTTGTTTGTTTTTGTGACAGTCTCACTCTGCCACCCAGGCTGGAGTGCAGTGGTGTGATCTCTGCTCACTGCAACCTCCACCTCCTGGGTTCATACAATTCTCCTACCTCACCCTCCTGAGTAGCTGGGATTACAGGTGCCACTATCACGCCTAACTAATTTTTGTATTTTTAGTAAAGATGTGCTTTCACCATGTTGGTCAGGTGGGTCTTGAACTCGCGACCTCAGGTGATCCACCCACCTCAGCCTTCCAAAGTGCTGGTATCACAGACCTGAGCCACCGTGCCCAGCCAGGATATATCTATTAAGTATAATTGTTTTATATTGTTGTTCAAGTCCTCTGTTTCCGTATTGATTTTCTGTCTAGTTGTATCTATTATTAAAAGGGGAGTATTGAATTTCCCCACTATTATAGTAGAGTTTTCTATTTCTTCATTCAGTTAACTTTTGCTTTATATTTTTTGGCTCTGATGTTAGGTGTGTATATATTTACAATTGTTATATCTTATAGTATTGAATATTTTCTCAGTATAAGAAGTACCTCTTTATCTCTTGCAGGATTTTTTTTTTTTTTTTTTGGTTAAAGTCTACATTTTTCTGACAATAATACTGCCACCCAAATTGTCTTTGGGTTACTTTTTACTTTGAACCACTTCTGTCCTTACATCTAAAGTGAATCTCTTGTAAATATCATATTGGTAGATCTTGTTTTTTATTTAATCCAATCTGCCAATCTATGTCTTTTAGTAGAATATAACAAGTAGTT